TGTACCCTTGGATGTGGGTGATAAGATTAAGTTAGAAAAGGTTACTTTTAATATAAAAAATCCAGCTTTTAAAGTATGTAAAGGAAAATTGATGCTCTCTTCACTATTATGTTTTATTCTGTTCATGGATACACTTGTATTTCTTTTTCTTATTAATCTTTTTCTTGTTAACTTTTTCTTATAAATATGTTAATTTTTATTACTGGTCTTGGTTTATTGAGACAGAAAAAAATCTGAATTATTTTCACTGCATATTTAGATTGCTTGTAATTATTTCTTAACTATATGCATTTCACATTTATAACATTTACTTAACAAAATCAATCTATTTTTGGTATGTAAATTGTTGCTAAAAAGAGATTTCCAGAAATCTTAATAAGGAACTAGAATTTTTAGATTTTGGCAATTGGTGGCAAAAACTTTACACTATTTGGTCGACCACTGATACATTCACCAATAGTAACAGTTAACGCTACTGTTGTTGAAAAAACAACATCTTATCCACAGCTCAGATATATGATGAACAACCATACAAAAGCGCGAACTCTGCATTGTATTTGTTTCTTCCTATCATAACTGGTTTCATAAAATTTATATATTTTACAAATAACTGTTGCTTATGAAGTCTCCCACAAAAATCTTCCTAAAATTTGATAATTCAAACTAATTATAAACGTTTTACCACAGTCTCAAGTTTGTATATGAGCTCTCATTTCCAATTTTTCAGGGATGAGCCGTGAAACGACGATACTGAGGATAAATAACATTAAAGTTGAAAGGATGGATTTGTGATTATATGACTCATAGATCATAGATCGGTGATTTTTCCCTTTGCTTTGTTAAATTTTAAATTAGGCAGAAAAGCAGTTTGAAAATATGGCAGTAATTTCAAACAAAAAAGGGAGGATTCAATTTGTTTCTGAAATAATTTAGCGGAATAAATGGTAGTGTTTGCTTTTAAGATTTGGAGCACTCACCCTGTTGCTGTAAATGATGGATGTTGTAAATGGTCTATAAAACATTTCATTTCATTGTCTAAATTAAAATAATGGAACAGCAAATAAAAATTTTAGTGTCATACTATTCTCTCGCAATTTATGTGTTGAATTCTGAAAGTCGAAAGACCTAGTTTCGGAGAGCTTATAAATATGTCGACAAAAAATTTTGCTGCAGTTGCAAACGTTTTCTGTATATGTATGGTGGACATTTGGAAAAAGTGATTTGTGACGAGGGCGGATTCGCTATTTCCGTAAGACGTCTCATTTAACCCAAATTAACTATTTCCTCCTGGTCCCTTCCTATTAATTTTCTTTTATCTTTTTTTGGGCATTTGGTCACTGGCACGAGGGAAGTGCATCTTTCACGATGATATCTGATTAATTGTCTTCATTGGTATCATTAATCAATGCAGTATCTATTACCAATGTAAGTGATGGTGCTGGTGATAGTAGTGTGGCATAGCGGTAATTGTAGAATTATTCAATTATAATGACTGTAGCTGATAACAGTTGTTAAATATTGCTCTATACTTTATTTCGAATTAATCTATTAAGGTATTTCAACTTTTCATAAGTGAACCAACGAAGAATGTCTGTGGAAAATGCAACATTGGGAGCGATAATATTTTCCGGTGCAACACTCCTCGTTTGCTTATTAGCGATCGCTGCAATACACAAAGATGTTACGTCCATTTGGAGTGAATTAGATTCGGAAATTGTTTCTTTCAAGGTTCAAGACTTATTTACTGGATTGCTGCTAAAACTATTTCGGTACCAGAAAGTCGAGCCGTAAAATCGCTGCAATACACAAAGATTTATTTATTTAGGTTAAAACGGATGATTTGTGGAAAGAGATGATCGGCCTTGGCGCTGGCATTCCGTCAAATCGCTTACGTCGTCAGACTAGTTACAATATTTATGATAAAGGTAAAAAAAATGATGGTAATGCTTATGATAGTTCTAATGGAAGTAGCAGCAAATACGATAGCTTATCGAGCGGTAACAGTGGCAGCAATTACGGTAGCTCAGCGAGTGGTAGTAGTTATGACAGTGGCAATAGTGATGGTGGTAATGGATACGGTGCTGGAGGAACAAATTATGGTGACGTACCACCAGCCATAGTCAATGAACGATATAATAATCCATACAGTATGAACCCACAAGAAGGTGACTCTTCTATTTCCATTGAAAATTTGCAATAAGTAATAAATAAAAAAGTCGGAATGAGAAATACTAAGGAAAATATGTTTAGGAGATAGACATTCATTATTAAAATTTGGAAAAAGCGATTAGAAAAGTTTCAAGTATATTCGAAGGAAAGATGAGACTATTACATTTGTTTTAAATATATATGAATTTGATTTTAATTACTGTGATTACTGTAAATTTCTGTAAAAAATCATTAAGTGATCCCCAGCAAAACGAATTATAATGAAGAACGAAGTATTGAGGCCGAAATTCATCCAAAAGGTTTCGCCCCAAGTAGTGAACCAACAGCGGATGTTGGCGATTACATTTATAGGAAAGCACCTAGTACCGGTATTTTTGTCTCACCAACCCGTTATAGTGACTCAAACGGTCAATCCAGGCAACAGTTTCGTCCAGTCAGCGGTTCTTTCATACCTCCAGGTTTCCAAAAAAATGGGTGGTGCAGTATGTTTTTATATTTTCATCTTTTAGTTTACTTTTTAATTGTAAAATCTGTTCGCCTTCGTCTCAAATTTCGAGTCAAATTTTAAATTAAACTTCTTTAAACTATTAATCAAAAAAATTTTGGAATTTCATAGAATTTCAAAATTTAATTCCAATTAAATTATAGTTTTAACTACTTTAACATAAAATTTTCGTCGACGAAATCGGAAAATTTGATAAAGTCATCATATTTCTTGGATTAAACCATGTGATAGAGCTCCGAAAATTTCAGTGTGCAGTTTGGAAAATACTTGTCCACCGGGTTCGCCGGGACCGAAAGGTGAAAAAGGTGTTGATGGCGAAAATGGAATTCCTGGTAAAGATGGTATAGATGGAATTGACGCAGATGATATTCAGCAAGAAAGTCCATCTGGATGTTTCAACTGTCCAGAAGGTCCACCTGGTCCTCCAGGACCTCCTGGTCGGCCAGGTATCCGAGGTCAACGTGGACCGAAAGGTGCACCAGGTTTTCCGGGACGTGATGGAAACCCAGGACCACCGGGCGATATTGGTCCACCAGGACCGCCAGGTATTTTTCTTTATATTTTAAATTCCACACGTTGATTTCTCCAATAATACTTGGTTTTGATTTGTATATAGGATTGGATGGTAAACCCGGAGAACCAGGAGAAAAGGGCGCTGATGCCGAAAAAGTTGTTGGACGGAAAGGCAATCGTGGTCCACCAGGTGACCAGGGCCCTGAAGGACCACCTGGCGATAAGGGCAAGGATGCATCACCGGGGGAACCAGGTCCTGAGGGGCCCGCAGGACAACCTGGCTTTCAAGGGCCACAAGGAAGTGATGGTGACGAAGGTCCAGAAGGTCCATCTGGAAATCCTGGCAAAGATGCTGAGGTTTGTTTTAAAACCAGAAAAATGAATTAAATTCTTTTAACTCACTAAGTTTATTTCAACTTCCATTTTGAAGCTTTTTCAATCCTTAAGTTTGCTACTCATGTCGTGTGGTCATTTATATTTTATAAATTCTGAGATTTTAGTACTGTCCATGTCCGGCGCGTGGACATAATGCTGCTCATCGGTTACATCCTGGTTCCGAAGGAAATGATGATAACGAAAGCAAAACAGACGACGTACAATTTAAGAGCGATGAAGAAAGTGGACAATTCGGAAAAACTGATTTCGAAAATCTTAACGATAGTGATAAAGGTTATAAATCACGACGCACGCTGCTTTGAAACTACCGTTGTAGCCATCGTCTTCCATTGAATATTGTATTCTATATTTTGGAAAAATTCTATTCTTCAGTCATCTTTTTTTGTATTCATGGAAGCCATTATTTCATTGTTCATTATTCTAATTTTCTTCCAAGTGTTCGTTAAATCAAAAAAATAAAAAGGTTAATCGAAACTCGTAATGTTTCGAAATCAAACAAATCCATTAGACTACAAATTGTCATGCAGGATTGTTTCTTGGACAAATATAAAACTACTTCACTTTTATATTCCATTATGCAATCATTTATTCAACACTCATCTTCCAGTTGTTGTGAGCTTGTCTGTGAACTTACCTGTTGTAGGTAAATCTTCTGCATTGCTTGGAGTGTTGCAGCTTGTTAGAAAAGAATACCTGCACTGCTCAATATGTTTAAAATTGTTCCCAATTTTACTGTTAAGATCTTCAATTCACACCAAACTTACATTCGATTGTTGGAGAGTTGTCGGTTCTTAGTTCAACTAACCTTTTCTGTTCTAAAAAAAGAAACTTTTCTGTTGCAATGTTGAAATATTGTAGAGCTCTTCCATGATCTAACAGTCGCTCTTATGAATAACTGATAAGATATTGAAACCAACTCGTATTATATCAAGAGAAAGATCATCTGGCAGTGACGCCTTTTAATCACTATATGCACTTTCAGTTATCCAGTATCAGCAAGCTTCAGTTTAATTGGTCTTGCGCACTCATCAATTTCCCTTCATTTAAATTATTCGCATCCCTTTATTTTTTTCCCTTTTTCCATACTCATCGACAATACTTCTATGAAATTATCAGTATATTGTCAACACAGATTAATACCAGACTAAATAACATAGTTGTTAATGGATAAAATTCATTAAACAGATTCCATTACACAATACATTTGTCTATATAAATACAGCTTTCCTAACAAATCCCTGTAAGTTTTGAACATGCGTTTTCGTGAAATTTGTGAAATAATGTGAAATAAATCAAATTAATTCGTTTTCCAATGAATTACAACTTTTCAAAGCCTTTGTTTCGTTCTAAATTCAAAAGGATTTTTAATTTTGAACAAGAACCAGAACAAACATCGGAATGTATAATTTATCACAAATCAACTTTTGAACAGTAAATCATCGACCACTTTCTTTTGTTTTCTTAGTGGACAACTTATCTCGAAATAATCCACAATATCTGTGTTCTCTTCCACAAAAAGATTCTTTTGCGTTTGTCTGTTCTCACTGTTTAAAATACAGTTTTGCTCCAATTCCTGAACGTAGTTTTTAAAAATTTCACTTAACTATACCGTCCCGCCTCATCTAATCTATACATCATTTACACGTTGTGAACTGTACAGACACATAAAAGTATGTATAAGTAGACGTAAATAAAATTCAATTCAGAAATAGATAAACTCTACCTCATAAAAATATAAGGCACTGGTACAGTTCATTGCAAACAACTGTCGTGATTTCAAGCAATTCTCGAAGCATCTCATAAATGACCGTGCTGTAACTACTATTTCCGCAAATCCAACCAGTATCATTTGTGGGAAACGATTTGCGCTTTGACATCCGTTACTGCAAATATGTATGGAATTAAATGGAATTAGAAAATTGGAGGCTATTTTTGAGCCTCAAAAAGATACATACAAAAGAAAGTGGTAAGAATTATAACCTTATTAAATCATCCTCTACACAAATCTTCTCATAATAGTTAGCATATAAATTTGGTTTGAGCTGTCTGACACCTCGTGACGTCGCTACTTCTCTAAATAAGCTACAACCGTTTTCGTCATAAACAAAAGAACGACATCCGAAACTGCGTCCTTTATCATCCTAAAAATTTTACTTTAATGATCGACAGAGAATGACCCATTTCAGAATTAAAATTTTGATTTGAAAACTCTAGAATTAGGACTTTTGTATAAGCAAAACTTTTCTTTGTCCTCTCTTCTGAACAAAGTTTGGATTTAAGTAGTTTAACAATTGGTTAATTTGGTGGCTTTCATCAAGAAGTTTAGTTTTATTTTCAAATAATGGTTCGAACTTCATTCATGAAATTATTTCAATTGGAGCAAACCTCATTCCTATATATTGTAAATAGTAAATAAAAAATTGAAATAAACGAACGATGTTGTTGGTACATGCATCGATACATGCATCCAAATTATAAGCCTTCAGATCTATCTGACTGACACTGTCAAGCTTAAATCCTGGAGTCCGCAGATACTTAGTAATTGTGCCTTCTTTACATGTCTTTTGATTTGTATCTTCTTTAGTTGAAATATTTAGTAGTATGGTATTGCCTAATTTTCCGTCTGGAAATATGAATTTAAGATAAGTAAAAATCACTCGCAGTTAATTTGATTACCGCAAACCCTTCCTAAGACCGTTTTTTCCTTTAAAATTTATGAATGAGGACAAGCCTATAGAATGAATTGTTGCTTTCTTCGATTTTTTTACATATTCCAAATCACAGCCATCAGCAAAAGTGGGCTCCAAATAAGAATGTTCGTAGTATTTAAGCAATCTGCAGAAAGAAAAAAACGATTGGAATATGAAATCATTTCTAGGAATTGATGAATTTTCAAGTATTTAAGTAAATAATAAATTTGAGAAAATGGATGTACTAATTCTCTGTGAATCCATTGTAAGGAATATTTAAGAGAAAACTTACTTTGCCGGTGGTTGATCACCTTGATGAGAAAAGAAATCGCAAATCTAAAAGGAGATTAATTTGGGAAAACTTTTTATTTTTTTTTTGCAACACACGGACTCCTTCTGCATTCTCGTTTCCAGTGCTAACAAAAGTGTCCCATCTCGCAATTTTTTAACTGGTAGAAATGTAATCAGCGTTTGGAAAAAAGTTTTTATGTCTTGAACTTAATAACTCTAATTGTGCAAATTCAAGTATAGAATATATTTTTAAAATCTCAAAATGTTTGCAAATTAGGGCCCTCTCCGGAAACTTGAAAAAGTACCTTATTAGCAAAATCATACACTAATGATCGACAACTGTAAATGCCACTTTGTGATTGCATACATCGTTGCTTACATTGTTCTAATTGCATATTGATTTTCCGCTCGTACGGTTGCGCACTGATAATAATGCATTCGTTATAGATTCGAAAGCATGCATCACCTGGAAAGATTATCAATTATTTACACAAATGATCCGCATAATTGAGATAAAGATAAAATATTCCCAGTATTAGACTATTTCTTGAGGATGGAAATCTGAAACTATAAATATTACGAATAAAGCTCCGAATAGTTACGCACTCAGATCTGGTGCTCCAATGATCAGATCACGTTGCTGACTGCGCGATGCAATATTCTCAGTAGTGGAGAGCTGGAATTTTGTTTTAACATTATTTGGCTTCCTGATCGTTCGTTATTGTTGACTTCTATCAATATTTATATCTGTATATCAGAGTTCTTTTTCCAAATGAAAAAGGAATAGAATTTATTAAGTACTATCTTTTTACAAAGACATGAATCAGTGATCAATGTATCTTTTATTAATTTAATTTCTATTGAATGACTCTTATACATCAACTTAAACTTACTCCTTTGCTCTTGTTCGAGTGTTCTCTGTCTTTATGTTTGGCCCCATTAGCTGCCTTTGATATAGTTTGCGTAGGAAAACTGATGCCAAGTGCTGTCCTACGTCTTTTTCCCGCACTACATGTTTTAATTTTTTAAAGAGAATAGAGCTTTAAATTTTACGAGATTTAAAATTTTCTAGCCTTAAGTCGTTTTATGAACATATTTCAATTTCATGAACATCCAATTTAATGGAAGTAGTTTACTTCTCTTCCGCGATCAAGCGTTAGATGTTACTTCCATCTTTTTCCCAGAAATGATGCTTTACTAAACATCAAAATGATGGAATCTCCATCATTTGCCAAATCCAGGAGATGTTCATGAAATTTAAGATTTAAAATTTCAAAGGAAGCCCATACTTATTTTGACCCATGTCGTATTCATGTTTCATGCTGAAACACTCCCTTAGCGATATGAACACAAGAAAGCAGAATAATAGCCATGTCCTCATCTAAACATGCAGAAGTGAGATATTATTGCAGGAATTCTATAACCAAATGAAAGCAGATATTCAGAAGCAATTAGTCAAAAAAGAAAATTGTTGCGTCTAGGAAGAAATTTTCTAAATGAAATGAAGTAGACAGTGTTCTGATGGAAAACTGTATAAAAAGGTGAAGTCATTTTAAAAGGCAACGGAAAATATTCTTTTTCTCCAAAGTATTGAATTTCAGAGGCTGCTGTGAATGCATCGGGTTCGGTGGGTGAATGACAATAGCAAGAATGTTGACAAGTGACCCGAATTACAGAGTCGCGACATGTTCATTATATCATTTATTGCCTTTGAAAGTTAATGATAATAGTGATTTAGTTGGCTGAACTACATAGATGACTTTTTGTTCACTTATGTTATTCTGACAGTACGTACCGACACTTTTCGATGAATTTTGGACAAGTGCTTATTTTTTGTATTTGACCAACTCAAAAGCAATTTCCAACAACCATACCGTGTACATTGCATAAGTATAAACCCAAGTATATCATAATATGACTAGTAGTAGTAAGCGGTATGGTAATACATCAGTAAATCATGATAAAGTAAACGCAATTTTTGAACAGTCTTTTGTTTGATTTATCTCTTTCTTTATGCTGAACTTCCGTTAGTCTTTTTGACTGTAAATAACCTAGACTACCGAACTTACGCTACATGATGAGATATCACAAAATATTATATTGCTTGACTATGAAATCTTCACAGTATACACTGTCCACTTCAACCACTTTTCGCGTATATATTTGGTTTATGTTATTTTTATATAATTCGTTGTTACTTCCTTGCAAAAAAGGACAAAGTTTTCACTAAAAACGTTTCAGAATACACAACTATTTACAATTGTGAAGATAAAGCAAAAGACACGCAATGATTTAAAATTCCTGCTTACAGTACACTCGCTCTACATGTCTCTTAAAACCCGTGTCACATGACCTCACGAGCAATCTGAAAGGACTCAAAGTACAAAAAATATGTAGAACAAACAAAATGTAGAAAGAGTTACTCAAAATGTATTTAGAATTCCTCCGTAGGATCTCATCTCTGTAGAGAACTCGAACAGTAGCGAATGTAAAGAAAACAAAATGCAATTTGATCTTTAAAGAGGACGGTAACCAAGTTTTAAATTTGAATTTTTGATGAAACATATTAAGTTCGTGTCAAATAAATATGTCGAAAAAGTCTAAAAACTCCTTTATAGTTTCAAAAAAAAAAAGTTACGAAATGTAGCTATATCTTTCAGATATATCAGATTAAAATATCATATGAATCCATAATTTTGCCAAAACAAAAGACTGTAAGCAAATAAACACATACAATAAGCACAAACAAAAATGTTTGAAATGTTTATACATACATAACGAAATCCAAATGGCAATGAAAATTTGATGAGAAATCAGCAAGACACAGGAGAATACAAGTATTTATGTGTCTGGAGAATTTTTTTTACATCAATTCAAACTTTTCTGAGAACTAAAAAATCTTAACAGCTTAAAAAAGACTAGCACATTACTATTTTTACTGCCTTAGCTTTATTTTCAAATCAATTCGTCTCCCCACTTTTATGAAGATACTCTTATGAAAATAAAAACAAAATCCAATAGAGAAAACACTATTCGCTGCTAAATAATACAAAGAAAAAAGCACAAAGCAAAGTTAGCTGCTAATTCTGATTCACTACATACTGTACTAAATGCAACACAGTCGTACCATTTATAAATATGTAATAATGAATACTGCAGAGATTTTTATTTTAATGTACTTATTTCTAATGAGCAATGAAAAGTAATGAAAATTTTGGAACTTATCCCAAATCAAATTCAAAATAATATTTGGTAAGCAACTGAAATTAGCCGAGCCGTGGTCTTTTGACTGATATTGCTTCGTTATACTGATTTGAATTACTTATGTTGGTAGAGGAACTCGATAATAGATTACCGACACTGTCAGTAGATAACATATGCCTTACAACCGTTGCTGCCAAATACGGACACTCATTTTCCAGCGCGACCCAATCCTAAATATGATCCTTGTAAGTATAAGAGAAACACACGACACAATTTTACGTTTTGAAAAGATTTACAAAATAGAAAGTTGAGAAGTAAACAGAAGATATACGTGGGAAGCTGGCTCAATAATAACAAGCAAATAAACTATGAAAATAAGCTTGGATAAAGTTTTCAAGCTCGATTATGTGATCCATAGTGTTTCCTCCTTTTCCTACTATAAGAAAAATGTACCTCATTATCAATGATGTAGTTGCGATGTTTTTGCAATAAATTCAAAATTTTCCACTTTAAGATGGAAGCATTATACATGTCTGCAGCTCGAAGACGTTCACAAAAATTGTTCGCTGATAGATCTCTTACCAGAATCTCTTGGCACAAGCTTTTCAAACGATCTAGACAAAATCTAAAAAAATCTGTTTAATTGTATTACAAAATTGCGATGAAAGTGAAAAAAAGTCACCGATCTGCAGCGGCTAAGATCTCTAGCATTCGCTTTGATGATTCAGAACAGTTATCCTTGTAAATGTATTCCAGTACACATGCCATCGTTTCTGGAGTTATATCTTCCAAATTTACCTAAATAATTAAGCCATTTTTTAAACGAATAAAGACAGTGTTACTGAATACAAGCCAACGTAAACTCACCTCTCCACTCACGCTTTCCTGATTACTCTGATCTCTAAACATGGCCTGGAAGAAAGGTGATCGTGCTGATAGAATTGCTTTATGACATTTAAAGGAACGCCGACCTACGTGAAGAGTGAAATCTGAAAAGTCGCCACTATCTAGCAACTGCCCCACATCACGTCCTGAAATAAGCAACAAAAGCTAGTAATAACTAATAGCTTTTTGAGCATGAAAATTTATTGACTCATTCATTTTAAATTATAAAAAAATCTACATATCCCAAGAATCCTAAGTGATAATAATAAAGTGCAATTTTATATTAAAAAGAACTATTTAAGTAAAGTGGGTAGCATCAATTTAACATTAAGACGATAAATTTTATTCTGTAATATGATGAACTCACAAAACTTACCCATAAAATGAGAATCAAGGCGTGTCCTAACTTCATCACTAATGCCCAAAGCAATTCCAGATATTGGAGAACCATTACTCCCACAAAAAACATCCAGATCAGGTTCAATATCAGTACAATTATAGTCCCCGTACACGGTCAACTCTACACCAACAGTTAAGATATCATCCGGTAAAAATTTAGCAACCCGACTCTATAAAAACGAAAAACTGAAAATCTTCGCAAAATTCAAGAATTTTGCATTTTATTGGTTGATAACCTTAAGGACATGATTGTTAAGAAATCACCTAACGTTACAAAGCAAATGAAGGAATGCCTTGCCATATTTCATAAAGAAACCTTCAAAGTCTCAGTAGAAAAGAATTTTGATGCAGTAACAATCCCACCACGATTGATAGTGACAACACTTTTGTTCAATGCACATCCTCGCGGACCATCCGCAGCTTCAATGTAGAAATTTACTCGAAAACGCAGTTTTGCAGATGGACATTCTGAAGTATAATTGTTAAGATTTTTTAAATTTCCTTAAGGAAGACAACACGATAATCGAAGATTTTGGTGTTGATAGATCATACTAGAATCGGCAAATAAGCAAATTTATTTTGAAACTTCTCTGAAAATGAAGGTACTTTCTGTACTTAAAATATTAATACTTAATCTAATTTATCGAAAGCAATTCATATACCCACTGAAAATTTGAAGAAATAAGGAAAGATATCCTCGACATTCTTCATCTTTACCGCAAGGAAATAGTTTCAGTCGAAATCGATAATCGCTGTCTGTAGAACCAAACATGCTAAAGAATATTTATTGAATACATTATAATACGCATATTATTAAAAACATGAAATTTTATTCCGACACTTTAGAACACTCAATTCTCAGCTAAAAATCTGATTGCAATTCGAATGGGAAACAGGAAAGTGCCTTTTGGATCAGAAAACCAGACACAGATTAAAGATTTCATCAATTATGCGTGCAGCGTGATAGGTTTGAAATTATAAGTCAATAATTCTTGATTTGACAATAATTGACCTTCAGCGGTAAATGGTTTCAAACAAGTAAAAAATTTAGTACTGCGCATCAACACACTAGGACAAAAATTTTCTGGACTATAAAGCGTTAAAGCAACAATAGTTGTTTACTTCCACAGCTTTAAATGTGAAACAGCTTTGAGCCTTCTACACATAATACTCTTAACACTAACTTTGACTCGATGAAATCGCCAGGTGATGACAATTCTTGTTGCGCCGAGAACTGTGCAACACTCCATTTATGCATGAAAACTATAGTATCCATTTTTGTAGCACATGCTGACATGTAAACAGCACCATCCAGATTTCTGCATAACCCATTATTACCACCTGATCCAGAACTCGGCTGGGAAGTTTCCGTAACACCAGCACGTTGCTGCGATAATTCTCTACTGTATTCCGCCAACATCTGTAATGATATTATTAGAAATATCTTAATTACCTCAATGGCCCAGAACAATCTTAAAGTTTGGTTTGAGTTTTGCCAAAAAGAAAGATTAAATAATGGTTTAGTAATCAGTCAATATATGTGCATATATATACTTATATAGAAAAATAGAACTTCATGACAAACATTTGACCATAACTGCTTCGGCCTAATCGATCGACAAAAGACAAAAATAACAATTTTTGATTATATTGAAATGGCATAAGAGAAAGAAGTACAACAGAAGGGACATCCAGTGAGGCACCATTACTAACTCGTCAGAGGCATTTGTCAAGCAGATGTATATACGTGGTATTTTGGAATATTTCCAGTACCACTGCTCATTAGAATACTGATCAGGTAGAAAGCTTTAACCTTAGGTAGCACTTCCCCAGCCTAATCATTGTAATGGCCGAGTCTGGAAATACTGCACGCAGAGAGATGAATGGAGGATG